TCAAAATGGAAAAAAAAATCCCTCACTGAATAAAGTACAAAACACTGCTTATATAGTCCATTATTGTGAAATGTTGGTGCTTGAAGGGCCTGTTCTTCATGAATGTGAGTGTGGCTAATTGGAGAAAAAATACTGAAAGCTCTTATATAGGCACAGGTTAGTTGGTGTACTGTGAGGAAACCTTGCTACTAATATAAATGTAGGGTTTTAAACACTAACTGATTTTTAATGTTAATAAAAGATGAGATTATTTCAGTTTTGGAAAATTTCACCTTGCATGACTTGAATTCTTTAATATTTTAGAATAGTTTTATGTTAAAAAAAAATCTTAAAGCTAGTAACATGATAACAACTATATCAGCTTTGTTGCTGGGGATTTTTGCCTCTCAAATGCATTTGAAAATTAAATATTCCTTATTGTTGTGAGCAAAACCTTCAGGGCTCAGAATTTAAAGGATTATTTCAAATGACAAAAGAATATCAACATTGTAAAACCCTATTCCTTATGAATATTATTGTAAATGTAACTCTTGTGTTGGATAGATAATGCACAAGTCTGGATGGATAAGCTGGAGTTATACTCTGTCAGGGAAATGTTTTAGACATTTAAAGTGGTGCCTTGGCCAAACCATAGGCTCTCCCATGACATAAATCCATTAGGACACATTCCTCATTTCTTAGAAAGGTGATTTGTTTCTAAGTTGTTTTGCTTTTTAAAGAAACATCAGTTTTAAGTTTGACAGTGATCAATCAGTTGCATACAATTTAGTCACATAATTCTCCTGCTTTTTAGTAAAAACTGATTGTAGGTGTTGAGCCCTGCTTCGAGGCGGATCACAATACATGTGGCTTTATGTATTATAGCTCTACCCTGTGAAAGATGCTTTTTCCTCTGAATGGTTTCATAAATTCTTGCATCGTTTATAAGCATTTGTCTGTGTCACACTCCACCTAAATCCCATTTGCCCATTCAATGTTTTCCTTGCTTGAGTGCTTTGCTCCCTTCTCTGAGGTCTTCTGGTATTGCTCTTTGTTATCTGTTCACATTGTCTGGTTGCTAATTGCCTGTCATGGAGATCTGGGATCTCTGGAGCCTCTTAGGTGAGGTCAGGGATGATAATTCAATCACAGGGAGCTGCTGGGTTTCCCAGGCTGGGATCTCAGCTCACTGACATTGGAGCAACGACCTGTTCTGGACATGTCACCAAGTCCAGTTCTTTGTGTGTGATCCGTGAGAGATTTGGCATTTAACCCAAACACTTTCACCCAAATTAAAGTTAGTTATCCGTGTCACTTAGCAAAACTCGGAAGTTCAAAGCTTGGTGGTGTTTATTTGTTTATGCCTTGGCTTGTATCTCTTATAATGTACCACTGCCTGGCTGTTTCACACAGCTCAGTGATTGTGGTTTCATTCATCCTTCAGCCTCTTTTAAATGCAGTGGCTCACTTTTTCAGCATGAGAACACTGTTTTCTTCAGAGGCAGTTGAATCACTTAGTAGTTTTAGATAAAATCTGAGCTTACGGCTCTCTTCCTTCAAAAGGCAGTAAAGGCTTTATTCCTTCAAAAGGCAGGAGTAAATGGAGGTATGAAAAGTGATTTTGTCCATTTTAAAATTGCCTTAAATCTGAGTTTTTGTCGTCTGACCCTTAGTCACCAATACATTGCACCTCTGTGAACGTAACGTCCTGTTTGTAATCTTCAGGAAAAGTTTTTCTGGACCAGCTATGAGTGCTGACAACTAGAGGTGGCATTCAAATCTGAATCAAGGCTTCTGCTGGCCAAGACCATTTTTTAAATTTCTCTGTAAGCCTGGAGCAGCTGACCTGTGTCTCAGGTAGCTGCCTTGTGCTCTGTATGTGTGAGTGCTCCGTTCAGAAGGCAGCGATGGAGAAATGGGAGCGGTGTCACCTGTTCCTCAGGGAAATGTCTGTGTGCCACCTGTTCTGAAATATTGGCTTTTTGTCCTTTTTTTTTTTTTTTGTTTAAGTTGAATTTTTACTTTCTCTGCATATGGTTAGTTTTATTCAGGTATGATGTTCCTCTCAACAAATGTTAGGCATGCCTGTTCTGTCCCTCATACAACCTACCCACACTGGGTATGTGATCTGGCTGCTGGCCCACATCACAGGGGGTTTATTTTGTCTTCATGGCTGTAAAAGTATGTGCTGAACACCTGTCTTTGCCTTTCTGTAAGACTTCACCTAAAGTTTTCCCAGATCTTTAAACTTAACACGTTGTCTTGGAAAGAAGAAAGTGTTTAGATTTTAAACTCTCAGATCTCTTGTCTCGACTGAACCGCTCACCAGGGTGTTGTACAGATGCACAGAACAGGATTTCCATCTTTACACATGGAGAAATAAATTGGGAGGTGGAGGGTCTTAAAACAAACCATGGCCTGATTTTAAGACAACTAACAGTTCTATTCCTTTTGAGAAGAAATTCTCGTGCTTTGCATTATAGGCAGATGTGAAAGTGTTGGTGTGATAGATATCAGGAGACATGAGCTCTGGGACAGAGGAACACCAAATGTGTGCATCTCTCCCAGAGACTCTGCAGACTTAGTTCATGGGCCACAGAACCAGGGTGCCTCACTAATGAATATTTTCCCTGTTTACTGACCATCCTGTTAAGTGTGTGTCTTCTGAGCATCTGGAGGTTTCCCTTGCTGTGTCCTGTGCATCGATCACACAGACTAAACCTGGTTGTTAGCACCAGCATGACTGGACCTCTGGAAATATGATTAAGATGATCATTACGCTTCTTCAGCAAAAATCAATCTATGAGAGTAGTGTTTTTTTGAAAAAACCCAATACCCACATAGGAAGCCCTTTAATCAGAAGACTTTGTGACTAGCACACTGGGTTTATTTGCTTATTTTAGTGTATTTGACAGAAAAATCAATAGTATAACTCAAATAAAAATACACAGTACACAGTGCTTCCCGTAGGAGAGGGAGAGGTGATTCTCAAGTTGAGCTCTCTCTCTTCATCGTGCTAGCATGTGCCAACTTTATGCTTAGTAAAACTAAGTGTAAAATACTTAGTCAAACAGTTAAATATAAATAAAAACAGTAAATATAAATATAAGTCATTATATATAAATATAACAGTGATATATTGAACTCATTTGGAGTTTATTCCTCTTGAAAATGCACCATCCTTTCTGTTTGAGCCACAAATTTTTGACAACCCACACAATTAACACACAGGGATATCAGAAGAAGCCATTCAACAGCTGCAGGTTGTCCCAGCATTCAAAAATATAGAGGTTTTAGCATCTTTCTTAGGTGGTCAGAGAAACAGAGAGAACATAAATATGTATGTATACATATTTACTTACACATGCATTTATACTCTGCATGAACTCTTACAGAGAAATCCCTTTTGGATGATTGTTTGTCCTGTTGTCTGTCGGTATAGGAGACATTGCTGGAGTTTTGCCAAATTCACAAAGTTTTCCAAAGTTACAAGAGCTATGAGAAACTCTAGTTGGGCTTTATGCTTCCTAAGCTTTTTAGTAGACCATAGAGTGTCTATGGGTTTTCCTGTGCTTTAAATCATAAAAAACATGCTGTTCATTGACACCACACTACAGCACAAAGGGTGAGTTTCCCATAGGTGTCAAATATATACATACTGAAAAGTTCAGTGTTAGTAGATCAAACTCAGTCTTTAAAGGAATTCATAAAGATTGTATTTGCTCTGTCTGTGCTCTGTTGTATAGTAAGATGACAAATCTCTATGTAGACCAAAAATTAGATGCAGCAAATAAATGGAAAGAAGTTGGTCAAACTATACAACTATATTGTACATGGGTGTAATATATTTGCTATATTTCCATATATATATATTTAATAGAAAACAGGCACAGCAATGCAATCTTTGAATCTTTGTTCATAATATTTTACATGCACAGTACAATAGATCTCTGCTTCACCAGATCTAAAGTTTATGCTGTGCAAAGGGCAATATCGTATAAAGTCAGGAGCTTGCCTCTGTTTTTTCATGAAATGCAGGTATTTTATTTAGACGTGGCTAGATATGTAATTTTATTTCTTTAAGTGTAAAATTTAAGGGATCAGATGTCAGAAAATGTAATCACTGAATTTTAAATTCCAACTTTAATTTTTTTAAGCAAAAGAGACAGATGTAGCTGCACTGCTGTGTCCACATGTATTGCAAAATACATTTAAATCATGCGCATACAGGGAGACAAATGAGAGAACTCTGCCATCCAAATATTAAATTACACATTTTGAAGCAAAATAGTGGTTTAAGTGTACATGTGTATAATGCTTTTTGTCACTGGGTTGCTCTCCCTGATGCAGTTAGACAGGATCTGTATTTAGTCAGAAATCTTTCAATAGAACGGGCTACCAGATGGGACCAGTAACAATGCAGAGAGGCATCGAACCACCACAGACATTTGGTGCTTAGAATAATAAAAAGACTATAAAATTAGATTAGTTGAGTCTAATTTGGAATTGGTATATTCCCTATGCACTCTCACAGCTCTTGGGTAGATAAAGCCTGGAGATTTAGTACTGTCAGGACAGAGGACTCCAACTTCCAGTAAAAGAAAAAACGGCATTCTGGGAGGTCACGGAGGGCAGCACAGTGACCTCCAATGATTTACAGGCCTTTAGCTTAATGAAATTGTTTCAGTGACATGACGGTAAAAGCTCATAATGGATTGGATGCCCTAATGTAATGAAATTACTCCCTTCTGCCTTAAAAAAAAAAAAAAAAAAAAAAAAAAAAGGGGGAAAAAAAAAAAAAGACGCAATTAATATTTACTGAGACCTGACAGGCTTCAGTGTGCGGCATCGTGCAGCGCTGTCAGACAGCCGCGAGCAGAGCCCCAGCAGCAGCGTGGCAGCTGAGCAGGCGCTGCGAGGGGGTGGAGGGACACCTCGGTGACGGGGAAGCCCCAACCTGGCGCTCTGAAACAGCTCTACCCGTTACCAGCCTTCATCCTCCTCTCCCTTCCTTCCTGCAGGCAACTGGACAACAACCAGATCAGCTGCATCGAAGATGGAGCCTTCCGAGCCCTGCGCGACCTGGAGATCCTGTGAGTTGACTTGGTGCGCGGTGCCGGGGTGCTGGGGGGGTTGCTCTCCCCGTGCTGCAGTGCTGGGGGAGTCTGGGGGCTCCCTCCTCGGCCCCCTGGTGCAGGTGGCAAAGCCAAACCTCACACTTCCCCTCCGGGCTGGGGTTATTGCTAATTAAAGCACAATAGACGAGTTCTCCACTGCCGCTCCTGAGGAGCAGAGATATTGCCGTGCTCGCTGCTGCGTGGAACAGATGGGCTTCAGCAGCATTCCAAGTGCGTCCGATGTGTGCTCTGCAGCCACTGACCTGCCCGGGGCTGCCTGATGCCGAGCAGCGGATGGGTAACAGGTTCATGAGGAACAATATTATGAGATATCTGACCACTGCCCTAGACAAAAAGCTGTTTGAAAGGTGTTCTGTATGTAAGAGGGAGGAGAGACGGGCGTTTGGCAGGCTTGTTCGGTGCAGTCATTGGCTTTTGGGGAGGATCCTTCTCTGAGGGCTGAAATAACACCACGTTGTGCTCTCCATGTACCACAAACTTTACACGTCGGCTGTTAAAGCTGCAGCACATACCACCGAAAGAGAAGCAAAGGCTTTGACAGTGCAAGCTGACTCTAACAGAGAAGCAGCATATTACATTTAGATTACAGTTGTTGTAATGTAAATCCAGTATTAGCCAGAACTCTGTATCTGAGCAGATAATTTGCTTATTACTGATAGTTACTCGTTCACTTAAAGACCTTTTCTGGAATAGGTTTTCACTGTGTGAACTGATATAAAGCTTCTCCTGTCACCTCAAAGTTAATCCTGCGAAGCTGAGTGTTAATACTTGTGAAAGCACATCGTTCTAAGCTCAGATGGAAGGGGCTGGGGGTAACACACGACCCCTGCAAAGCTGAAACCCTTGACGTGTGACCTGGAGTTGGTACTGGACCAGCAGTGACACCACAGACACTTAAGTACAGCAGGGAAGGCCTGCCCAGACTGCTGCAGAGCTTGCCCTTAAATTACATGGGATGAAACAGCAAATGGTAGGTGGTTAAAATAAGCACCTGCCTCACAAGCTCCTGGCACCTGGAGACTGAGCAGAGTCACAACATTGCCTTTGGCTCTTGAGAGCAGGCAGGGCAGTGGGCTGTACAGGCAGAGCAGTAGGTTGTACGGGATGGACAGTGGGCTGTACAGGCAGAGCAGTGGGCTGTACAGGCAGAGCAGTGGGCTGTACAGGCAGAGCAGTGGGTTGTATGAGATGGGCAGTGGGCTGTACAGGCAGGGCAATGGGCTGTACAGGCAGAGCAGTGGGCTGTATGAGATGGGCAGTGGGCTGTACGGGCAGAGCAGTGGGTTGTATGAGATGGGCAGTGGGTTGTACAGGCAGGGCAATGGGCTGTATGGCAGAGCAGTGGGCTGTACAGGCAGGGCAATGGGCTGTATGGGATGGGCAGTGGGCTGTACAGGCAGAGCAGTGAGCTGTATGAGATGGGCAGTGGGCTGTACAGGTAGCCCTGTGCCACACACCACAGAGGGCTGAGTACACGTGTGACAACACAGGGAACTCTTGCCCAGGGGCTCTACACACCTTGTGCTGATGCTCAAGGAGTTCTGCCACCACTGTCAGCACCAGCTCAGCAGTCTGAGGGACCTGGGAGTGGTGGCTGTGTCTGTCAGGGCCAACTGAGGTGCCTTTGGCCCCTCTGTCTCCCAGGCTGGGACACTGATGTTGGTCAGATAGTATGTGTTGCTCATATTGAGTTAGCAGTAGGTTCCTGACGAGTTTCTTATGTGGGAACTTATGCTTTCAAGAGTATTCTTCACATTCTATATTAATAGCACTTTTCAGGAAAAGTAATGCGTTACCACTATGAAGTTTTACTTGTCTGTCAGATTGAAAAGTCTACTGTATGGTGAAAGAAAGGAAGGAAAGAAAAAAGAATTAACTCCTTTAAAAATTGGCTTTTTTTCCCCCCTTTTTTTTTTTGATGGACTGATTTTCCATATCTGCAGAGAGTGAATCAGTCCTCTCCTGACAGCAGACTGTGCTAACTTTCACTGAAATAGGCTGGACAATAAATGGAGGCTTTTTCTGTAAAATACTGAGTTCTGCAGGCTATGCAGAAGTTGCTGGGAATGCACCCCTTCTTCCTAAGATGTTGGAAATTTTGAATTAGTTTATTTACCTCTTCTACTTTTACTTGGTTAATTCTGTCCCAGTTATTTTTGGGTGGGAGAAGAGGAGGATATAGAATATACATCATAATCAGTTCTTTAATGCATTTTTAATTTCAGCACAGACACGCTGCTACAGGAAAAATCAATCTTAATTCTAAAAGATGAGAGAATAGATTGATAATATCTATTTCTAAACTTATTTTTCTTGCAGTCACAAAATGTGAGTTTTATGCTTCCAATGTAATACGATTTTTTTCCATGTTGTTCTTCAAAGTCTGAGCATTTGATCTCTCTATCAAAATAAATTTGCTAAATGCCCCAGAGAATATCATATCTTCAGTTGTAAAATAGTCATAAGTGCTAAAATGTAAAACGATCTGAACCATCAAAGAACCTTAACAAGTGAAACCAAATTTCATCATTTCAGATACGGCCGTGCATTTTGCGCAGATATAGTTTAACCTATAATGCAATATGTAGAAAACATTTAATGATTCTGGCAAAAAAAATTAATTATTTGTTTGAGCAGTTCACAAGGGTACCAAATAACATATTTCCTCTTTATCTTATCAAAATCTTGTGACCTTTCTGATATCGAATATTTCCATTCCTGCATCTTTTCTCTGCGCGCGCTGCCCGTCTACAGAATTCTAAATTCTGTAGAGAACTCGGGGCAGAGACGAAGTGCTTTGCATTACTCAAAAAATAAAACTAAGAATGCTTTCTTTAGAAACACTTTGGTTTCTAGATCACACTTCTCACTCAGGTTGAGTTCCTCAAAAATCATGAGTGCGAGGAGCTCTGTGGTTCAGTAGCTGTAGGAAGGGAAGGAGGTTGTGCAGTTATCCTTCGAAGTGAAGAGCCCGCCATGGTCCGCGTTATTTCTGTTTATTCACAGATTGTTTTCTCTTACTATTTTTATTTTCTCGTTCTTGTTTTATGAATATGTTCCTGTACCAACAAATAGCACAGAGGTAGAGATGAAAACGGCACTGAAATTTGTGCCTAATTTCAGTAGCTGACGTGGTGCAGTGAGTTGTGAACGTCAGCTGCAGCTTGGATCAGACCAAGGCAATGCAGCTCCCAGTGCAAACACAGGCTTTTTGTCACTTCTGTGTTTATGAGCCTCTGTGTTTGGAATGCCATGAAAGGTTCCCCATGATCCTGTGGTCTCACCTAATGCAGGTGCCAAGTGCTACTGCTGACTCTGAGTTTTGGGTTAAAAGATGCGAAAATGTTGAATATGAAGAGCTTTGGTGCCTTCTTTGGATTGTCTTTGCCCCTGCAGCGAGGTGAGAATGATGCCTGAGAAACGACACGTGGAACTGGCACCCTTACTTAAACATTCTTTCCTGGTAGTTCTGCACTGGGACTGGTTTTGTTCATTTTTGTGTCACATTTTATTCCCATGAAGGTTTTGGTTTCTATCTGTTGATAAAATAGGGATTTTTCATCTTGACATACTTCCTCTCCCCCTTTTTATTAGATGATAAAGCATATTTCAGTGGTTTTGGTCTTGCATAGAAAGGTGTGTGCGACAACTAAAACAATAATAAAATGTAAAAGGTGCATATATTCATAAATGAATGGCAAAAGCTATTAACTATCTTATGACCTGTTGGAATAGAAATGCGCAGAAGAGTTGAAGAAAACTGGTGTGAAACCTTCACTAATTAAAGCTTTTTTTAGTTAGGAGAAGGTTTTCTGCTCTGCTTAGTTTTTACTTATGTCCCATGGCAAATATCTGGCAATAACAGTATTATTGAGAAATATGTATTAGTGTAGCCCTAAGCATGATTAAAAGTTATTAAAAAAACTCCAAAAAGATTATTAAAAAAAACCACAACAATAAAACAAAACCAAACCAAACCACCCCAAAGTAGTCTTCAAAATGAACTTGGCCAGTATTCCTTATGGTGTGTGACCATATCGTTCATGTCATTGTAGATTAGAAATTAGTCCAAAGTTTTATTTCCAAATGTGCAATATTATAAAGGATAGGAGATAAAACTCTTTGAGAGCTCGGAATTTCACCTCCAGTCCCTTAGGATACATGAATAAAAGGAATTAATTTCAAGGTGGTTCAACAAGCTCAAACTGGATAAAGTAGTAATATCAAGTGACTGAACACGCTATTGTCATTAGACTGGAAGAGCTGAACAATTTTTCTCTGTAAGAAACAGAACTCAATTTAGCAAAAACCCCTTTAATTTATTTATCATTGTTTTGTCTCTCTGGGGTAGCTTGAAAACTGTGTGGTGACATGGCAGTTGTAGCATGTGGACAGCACAGAAAGAATTACGAGTCACTGTTGACAACTTAGGTGGAGTATTTTCTTTATGTTGTAAAACTGTTTTTGCTCCTGCTTTATAATGATAGCCAGAGGGACCGGAGGTTGAACACATTCTGTTTGTTGCACAAGATTTTATCCTACCAAGAGCTAATCCTGGGAGGTCTGCGGGTAGTATTCTATTAAAGATGGCAAATGAGTTCTTGCTGTACAGAGCTAGCACAGAATGATTTGGGGGTTGTTTGTTGTTAGTCATGTTAATTGTAGGTCTTTCATGTAACAGCACTGTGTCTGAAAATCCTCCTTCCTGAGCTCACCTGCTTTTTGAAGTGAATGAGCATCAAGTCCATAGCAACAAACTACACGCGTGGGGTTCCACATTCCACTTCTGACATTTTAGCGTGAAAAATCGTGGCAATTCCTTCAGAAATAATACTGAAAAAGTACAAATAGAGACATCCAAATATTTGTAACTTCAATTCCAAATGAGCCCTAAATATTTTATCTTTAAAAAGAATTTTTTTTTTCTCTGATTGCAAAATGTAATAAAGGAAAAC